AGTAGATATTTCTTGTACAATTTATACTGTTTATTCGACATTTTTAAAATATCAATTGTTATCCATGATTTTTTGTTTCTAGGTTTATAAGTTTGGAAAGGAGCAAACAGTTCAAGTGAGTTATTAATTATGTTGTAGAAGGATAAGCAAGCATTATCGAAATTACGATCATTCATTAAAGGAGTCCAGTCAGCTGCTGCAAGATGGGTTTTAATTTGATTTACAGTTTTTTTACTTAAATTTCGCTTATTAAGAAGTTGATGAGAACGGTTTAGCAGATTTGGATTATTAGATATTGAGTATATAAGAAAGTGATCGGAGAAGTCTGAGATGATTACTCTACTATTAAAAGATTCAGACGAATTTGTGAATATATTGTCAATTAGTGACGCTGTAGAAGGAGTTACACGAGTAGGAGATTCTATTAGCGGAATATAACCATAAGAGGACAATAAATTTTCAAACATTATTATGTTTTGTGAGTTTACGTTTAGCAAGTCAGTGTTAAAGTCGCCAACAATATAAGATTGTTGAGTTGGCTTTAGCGCACCCAAAACCAGTTCAAGTTTATTTAAAAAATAATTAAAATTAATGTCTGGCGGACGATACAAGGCAATCACATTTGTTGACTTGTAGAAAAAATTTGATTTTATATTTATGCATAACATGTCTACATATTCATCATTAAGTACACTATCATCACAAACAGAGCAATCAAAACCACTTTTTACAAATATACCAACTCCACCACCCTGTCCAACATCTCTATTTTTATATATAAATTTATAATCAGGTAAGTTTATGCAATCAGCCGTATTTTCATTCAACCAAGTTTCACTTATCACAATAATATTAAAAAAGTTATAAAATTGATCAGATAATATGTTAAGTGCTGACATTTTATTAACTAAGCTACGCGCATTTATATGCAAAATCGATATATTGTTTTGAACTAAATGTAATTGAGGTTTGATTAAGTTATTGATAATAATTTCATATGTAAAATACTTATAATCTTTAAAAACAGAGTTTAATGGATAGTTATCAGCTGTTGCCTCCATGATTGATATTGATTGTTGTTGGCCGAAAGTTTCCATCTTTCTTCTTACTTGCTGACATGTTGTAATCCCACTCGCGCAAGAACGTGTGCATGGGCCATATGTCAGGATTAACCAGTTTCTCACGTTCATTCAAAGGTATTATAATTTTGAAAGCCGTTCGATTCCGTAGTTTGACTTTTCTCTACCAAAGGATCATCCGGATTTTTCTTACGGAGTACAGGAAAGCATTGTAGAAAAGCTATGTTGTTTTGTTTCAGATGGTCCTCAATTATATTTTTGTTGCATGTACTGACATTTCCGATATAATAGGTAATTTTTTCCTCTATTATTTTCGACGCTTTCAATGGGCAGCTGATGCCAGTACCGTAGGTTTTCATTTGTTTTGAAGTTGGTTTTGACGCAGGTTTTGGGGATGCCAGTTGTGGAGAGGTTGACGATTTTTTTCGTTTCTTACTTCTCACCACTTGAAAACCATCGTCGCCGATAATTTCATCACACGACTCACTTTGCGACGTGTAGCGTTTAGCGGTTCTGTCGGCCCAAGATTTTTTACTAGCGCAGTTGTCAACATTATCACCTGAAAGAAGGCTTGCGCTGTTTACACTTTCAATACGTTGCAAACGACCTTTACCGTTATTGCTTTGTTGTTCACATGTGTTACACGTTCGTGCACTATCGCTTCTATTATTCAATTGTTTAGCTAATTGCACAATCAATTGTTTATTTTTCTCTATTTTATCATTTAATTTTATTAAATTATCATTAATATTTTTGCTATTATCTCTCGCTAGTCTTAAAGGTATTCGGTATATATTATATATTGTAAATGTAGGTAACAGGTCCATCAAATTATTATCAAAACATAATTTAATAAGTTCCAAAAGTTCACTAACTTTATCATATTTGGTATTACCACGAGCCTTTAACTTAATTTTATCTTTTTTTAAACCTTCTATTTCAGTTAATAAAATTTTTTTACCATTAAGTATTTCATCATTAGCATAGAATTCTACAACTTCCAATTTAAAACCCTCGTCATTTAAATTTTCTTGATTATTTAACAAAAACCATAAAATTTCCGCAATACAAACACGCTTAGCCGCCATTGGTATTATATATATATATATATATATATATATATATATTCTATAAATTCTACCGAATGTTTGGCGTTAATATGTTTGTAGTTCGTTTTTTCGATTTTTCTCACTAAAGTTTTTTGGTGAACGTTTAGTTTATTAAAATTCAAAATAAACTTATTTTTCGAATTATATATATATATATATATATATATATATATATATAAAGTGCGTTTTAAAACCTTTTTCAAACTCACGCCTAGCATGATAAACAAAAAAATACCCAGATTAATTAGAAAAATGTACAGAGATGGATGGAATTTGGATGTAATAACATGTTTCAACTTAACACAATAAGAATCATAATTCTTATCTAGGAATTAGGTTTCACTAATACGTACATGCACACACTCACTCACGCACGCACGCACACATACTCAACGCACGCACGCACGCACACACAAAATACTTTCAAACGGACAGACAGACAAACTTATCAGACCATCACATTTTGTGAACCTTGAATTATACAAAACACAACTAATGAGTGATGTTGAAAAACAACTCAGGAAAATTTTTAGAACAATGAAACTTATGACAGTTAAAATCTCAAAATGTTATAAAGTGGTTGAGATGCCTGGCTTTAATAGGTTTGTTTTATATTCTCATGCTTTGTGATCTGAGGAAGATGAAAAAAAATATATATAAATTTAACTAAAATGCTAAATTAAATGCGTCTTCAAATTGAAACTTAGCAAACATTAAAGTTAAATCTATTGACAAATAAGATCATGATCGGTTGCTTAACATTTCGTTTTTTGGTTTTATTTATATGGGGTTTAATTGTTTGCAAAACTGATGATATAATATCTAACAAAAAATTTATTTTTTATTTAGTTTTAATAAAATTAATTAAATTTTTCTAAACTCAGGCCAAAATATTCAATGAATAAATGAATAAATAAATGAATGAATGAATGAATGAATGAATGAATGAATGAATGAATGAACAAATAAACAAATGAATCATATCTTCCAAGCATGCCCAAACCAAATCTCAACTATTTAGTATATTTTAAGCACTATTTACATTTGTCAGTCGAAAACAGCCATTAAAAAATCTTGAATACACACTCCTATCATAGTCTTGTCGTGAGGAATGAATAAAATATTAATAAATCTATTTTGGAGATATATTAAATTTTTAAATTTAAAAATGGAAGTGCTTTTGTATTTTGAGATTTTTAATATGAACATCACTGCTTTGACTACATTACAACTATATTTAGTCAGTACAATAACACTACATATTGATTAAATATGTAAATTAAATTATCATAACTTGAAAGAAAAAAATACACAGGTATCCCATCTATCAATTTATCTCTATCAGTTTTCATTTAATTATCCCATCCAGTCAATCATCCACTTATTTATACTTAGACTTGATTAACATTAAATTTATTAATTTTAAAGTTAAACTTAATCATTCATCTCTAATGCTAATCCAATCAACCCAATAATCCATTCAGGATTTCAACACTATTCATCAAAACATATTATTATATTCATCCATTTATCATTAATTTTTACTAAATTCATTTTTATTAGTTTAGTTAAGTTTTTTACTTTTTTTAGATTCCAGTATTATTTTATTAGTTAGTTTTTAGTAGTTTATCATTTTCATTTAAGTTTTATGTATTTTATCATCTGATCATCTCATTCATACATTCATTCATTCAATCATTCATTAATTAAATTCATTTACATAAAATAAACACTATAAATATTAAAAATAATGCTTAATGACGGTTAAACATGTTACACTACATAAATAATACAATTTTTACTAATTTACCACAAAAATTAAAAAGCCTAAAACTTTTTAAATCAATAAATTAAAAAAGTAAAAAAAACACTATTCCGGCGATGGATAAGAAAGAAATGAATTAAAATTATTGAGAAATAAGACCTAAATTACTAACTAATTGATGTAAATGTGTCAACAAATTGCTTAGGAGTTAATTAATTGAATCAAATCAACAATTACACAATTAATTTCAGATAATTTTGATGTATTTAACGATATTAAGGTAGCCAAAGTAAGACATTATAAAATTTGCTCAACTGAAAATAATTGCGATATATATTAAACTTAAATGTAAACGATTAAAACTTTAAAATAATTAAATTTATAATTTAAATTTAACAATTTCTTTTTTATAACAATTAAATTAAAAGTCTTTGGTGTTGTAAAACCATTTTAAATTGTAAATACCCTTATTCATTGTTGTTTACGTTCTTATATCGTCCAACACCAACGAGCTAGTGTAAAAAAAGATTTAAACGACACTGACTTATTCAAATTTGAGTTTTATTATTTTGAAATTAGTAACTCATTACTAAAAGTTAAAAAATGTCAAAAAGTCAAACGACTGCAAAGGTCCTGCCGCCAACGAAAGAAAGCCAACTGAAGTCCTACCAGAAGCGATTGAAGGATGACGTTCGTTCCATGTACGAGAACTTTTCAGAAATCTTCAAACTCGTTAAAATAGACGAAGATTCCGTTCTAGGGAAACCCTCACAAGCCGAGCAAGATCGGTATGAAATTGAAGTCAGGGCCGCCAACATGGTTCGAGCGGCCGAATCTCTGATGCGACTGGTGTCAGAAATTAAACAATTTTTAATCCTGAATGATTTCGCACAAGTGAACGAGGCCCTCAAGCAAAATGTTGATTACTACATGAGGGCGCAGAACAAAATCGACAGCCACATCAACATAATTAGAGAAGAGATGATCAATGAACTGTACGACCTCGAAGAAGAATACTACTCTTCACAATACAAATAGTCTATAGTTCAATTTTGCTGTTTTTTATTGTGTGATGCGTTTACCATGTAATGTGTACATTCCTCAAATAATTTTTGTATAAATGATTTGACTGTACAGTTTCATTTAATTTTGAAACGTAACTAATTAGTCAAAACTAGCGAATTGGCATATAGTTTATTTTATTTACTTTTTTGTTTGTTTATTATTATTATTGTTTATTTTATTGACATGGGACTTATATATTTGCTGGTTTACCTAAAAGTTATGTTTGTTAACAATTTTTTCCAAACAAAATGTCAACTTTGTGTTTTTCGATCGCAGTGATATTAAATAGTTAAAAAAGTTTTTTAAATTCCAAGGTTCGTTCATTCCTTTGAAACCTTGCTAAAGGATAAAGATTATTTTCTCCATTGTACTTGCTTTAGAGGTCCTAGTGACAAACACACAGCATATATGAATACACCTGAAAACTACACACCACACACATTGCATATGATAGGCGGGGATCTCTTTGTATTCTAACCCAGTTACTACGCCAGAGGGACCACGTGCCTCTAACCATTGAGCCACCAGGCCGCCTATTTAGTCTATGGTCATCATGTGTGGTGTTAATATACAGTGACAGTTCTAGTGTTGGTGGGTCATGTCCATTTCCGCTGTTAAGCAGTGTTGTTAAAAGTCAGCAAGTTTTAGTTTTTAGACACGAATGTACATCATTATAAACTGCGTACTGTGGCTCAATTTTTTGTAATGCGGCGCTGATAAAGTCATTGTGAGCTAAGCTGGTAACTTGCTGCAAGATTTTTGAAAAACTTAATTTCCAAGGCATAAAAACGTATAATTTTGTAATGGAAATCTTGATGATTTTGATACGTACTATCTTGAATTGATCGAATAGTATTTATTACGAACTCGCACTATATTTCGAATTAGTGTAGGTAATGAAAATTCCTACGTTTTAGATATATAGCCACTTGACGTTTTTGATGTACAGTATCATGAATCAACTGGACAGTTTTCATTAGGGTAGGTACGAACTCGCACTATAGTTCGAATCTGTTGGAATGTGGCGCTGATAAAGTGAAGTAAGTTGGTAGTTTTTTACTGGTAGTTACATTACATTAGTTACATTACATTAGTTACATTACATTAGTTACATTACATTAGTTACATTACATTAGTTACATTACATTAGTTACATTACATTAGTTACATTACATTAGTTACATTACATTACCGATTACATTATTAAACACAACTCAACCATTCTATTTTCATCAACTCGTATGTCTCAGTCATTAGCCATTCATCCAACTGCATCTACCCACTGATCATTCACCAATCGTATTAGAAGATACGGGATTGTTTAGTGCTATCTAAGAGGATTTGTGTTCAGTTTAAAAAAAATTGTATTACTCACGCATCCTACGCGCACACACTCACACATATATTTATTTGTTATTGATCAGTATTTACACACGTTATTGTACACTTCAATTACTAAGAATTCGCCTAAGTTTTAGCTCGGGTGTATCCATATTAAAGATAGATATCTTTCAGTTATGCTACACGAGAAATGTCAATTGATCTTGAGATTATATACAAATATTGAGGACTTTCATGCAAGTACACACATACAATCTACGCAACGACAGGCGTATGCACTGTATTTGTTTGTTCATTACAAAAACATTTTCAATATTATTTTGAAAATTTTTGCTAATTTACACAAACACGCAACAATCATTTTTATTCAGTTGAGTGTTGACATTAAATTATTGAATAACACTCATAAATTATAATTTATTTACGATGTTGCTGTATGTATTGCGTATCGTTATTAACCCTTGTATCACGGCTTATCAGGCTCTAGGTTTTACCTGCTGCGTGTTCCTCGAGCACTTCAATGCTTACGTTACGATTAAATAAATCATTCAGCATTTGCTTTTGTGTCTGATTTTTAAATATAAAATATGGCGTCGTCTGAAACTGACTATCTTTTGAACAAAAGCGAACGTTAGTCGACTTGGATTAATAATTCTTCAGTTGATAGATAAATTAATTCGCTAAATCATTTTTCCCAATATTCAGAAGACTTCAAAACTATAAGAAAATTGGATCGGAATTTGGTGGAACTTCGATCGAATATACCGCTGCCCTTAAATTTGGATCAGTATTATCTGGAAGATTATTTGGCGAAACATTCGGTAGCCATTCGTTAAAATAATATTTCATCTACTCATTTAATTTAACCATTGAATCATTTATTAGAATATTATTTTATCAATTTGCTATTAAATTTGGCTGTTTCCAAGAATTCAAGTTTGGAGTTCAAAACAGAAGCGATCGAGCACCCGTTTTTGAAAAGTGTGACCCTCAGTGATGAAAAATTGGCATCCGAAATATTCGACGCGGTAACTTTCAATTTTAAATGATTTCTAATTATTTCGTTTTCTATCCTTATTTCATTATATTTTGTCTATATTTATCCTTATTGTCATGCAAAATTGCTAGCCTACTACAGTCGATAACACATCGTTCGGAACTTTTCAAGATTCCTGTGTTGGGATGGGTACAAAATTAAATTGTAAACGTTTGAATGGATATCAACATTCAAAAGATAGTCACTACACTATTGTACATTCATTAGGAAACAAAAATTCTGCTCACATTGTTTTCAATATTTTGAATCATTCATTCAAATAGTAATATTCATTCAAAACTTCATTTAAGATTTTGTCCCTCACGAACGACGACAAGTTGACAGCTGAAAAATTAAAAATTCTCGGAGAGTTCATCATCCAGAAAAGTTTGTACAAAGAAGCATTAAGAGATGAAGTGCTGGTTCAGATTGTCAATCAGACTTACGAGAAGTCCTGCATACCGAAGCCTCCTCCTCTGCCACCATCCTTCAACAAACAACTCGAAAATGTCGGCAATGAAAAACCTAAATCGGATCCAAACGAATCGAGTTCAAAATTGGGCAACAACATCGCTTGGACGTTGCTGGCAGGCTGCTTGAGCTGTTTCAAGTCAAGCGATGCTCTGCATTATTATCTGCTGAGGTAAACATTTTATCGTCTAATAAACTGACGAATATTTATTTCAGTTTTGTGTAAAATTTTTGGAATTATTCTTTCATGAACATATAAAAACTAAAATTAACAAAACAGACATGTATCTGCAAATCGCCGGGCTTTGTGTCAGTACAAATTATTGCAAAGTGCTTCGGTGGCAGACAGCAACGTGCGCAGGCACTACCCGCCCAGCTGCCTAGAGTGGTTCAGCTTTCTCTCCAACTCTCCAATCGCCTTGAAATGCTTCCTTTTCAATGGTTTCTTTCTTCATTTCTGCTTTCAAAAATGATTTTAGCTAAATATTTTATTCAATACTAATTACTCTGTTTTGTTATATGTAATTCTAAATGGTTCCATGCACCAAAATTATCGTGAATGTCATGAATAACGTCATGAGTATCTTTATATAGCATGGTTTTAAAAGCAGAAGTGTGTTCAATTCTAATTTTAAAATCTGCATAAATATAAAAGTTTTGAATAATATCGGATGAATTCAATAAAAAAACTGAATCTTACGAAAAATTCCCCAGGTAAAACAGCGTATGAGAGAGTTGAGTCGTGGACGAGCAGTGAACAGTTTGCGTCCAATGTCCTTCAGCATTCTTTGTATGTTTGTTTGTTTGTATGTTTGTATGTTTGCTTGTTTGTTTGTTCGTTTATTCGTTTGTTTTGTGGCGTGTTTGTTTGTACCTCAATGAATGTACGGTGGCCGCATACAGTTGAGCTCGATTATTAAATTATGACATTACCTTGAATGAAAAACTACGCAGGAACATTCCAGAAAGCGAAACGAAAGGTTGGACTGTAGCACTATCCGATTCACTGGGCAGTTTTGAATGTCCAGGCCATAATCTCATTCTTGACCTCATCTCGGAAACGGAAGTGAACCAACTGACGTCAACATGGTACCAGGCCCCGTTCATGGTGTCATCCAATAGGAGTTCAACATCGCAAGACACCAACTCCAAACAGTCGGTTCTTATTTTTAAGCCGCCGTACAATCTATTAAAAATTCATGTTGATTGGTTTAGCATTAGAGTGTTTGAATGAAGTGATGACTTAGTGTTCTGAAATTTTTGAAAAATTTGTCGTAAATTCAATTAAATTATGAAATCAAAATGACGTAAGTGATTAGTTTGAAGTGTTGAGTCACGTGAAAACCATGTTATCCTATGTTGTTTGTTGTCGTCATCTTTCTTCATCGTAGCAAACGCCAACTTTTATGACGACAACACAAGAACGATGATTTGAGAAGGACAAAAATAATGTTAAAAATGATAAAAATGATCGTGAGGTATTCAGCAACCATAATAGAAAAAAAAACGAAACAACGCCCATACGACAGCCAAAAACACAACAAATTATCCCCTTTAAAACGAAATTTATTGATCATTTTTCAGTCCACACAACATCAAACCGAGGAAATTTATAAAGATGCCTCAAAGTGGCAGCCAGTTGAGGCCACTACAAAAGGGTTCCTTTAAGAAGGCCAATGCCAATAACAACGTCAGTCTCAACTCCAGTTTTGGTGGAGACTACGAGTCATTTGAGTTCGGGCCGACGAGAAAGTTCTTATTTTTCTTGCTATTGTTGTTGCAACTATTATTATAATGATTATTGTTGTTGTTATTATTATTATTATTATCGTTATTATTATTGCCGTTGTTGTTTTTATTATTTTTTATGTTAGTATTGATATATTCAAATATGGTTCATTACATTCACTCATTCAAATAGTTACCAAAAAATTGTGTAAAATTTGGCACGAAGATACACTAATCTACAATAAACAAGACCAATATTTTGTATCATTCAGCTCATTAAACCCATTAAAAAACTAATTAAATTAGCAAATTACTAATTAATTTAGCCGTAATATATAAAATAAAAAGTACTGAAACTATATTCTGTAGAGTGAGCAACATAGAATCACGCTATATC